GAACTCACGGAGTGCAAGATCGTGACCTGAGCCGAAGTCGGATGCTCAACCGACTGAGCCACCCAGGCGCCCCTCTTCTTCCATCTTGAAGTGTTGTCTTCCCTAGGATTCCACAAACCCTTTCTTCTCGTCTCCCCCATCCTCTGCCATTCTAGGCCCTCCTCCTAGCTCCTGCACTGGCTCCTCTTCTGTCCTGAGCCACCCTTGTATCTGCACTTGATCCACGGGTAATGTCCTCTGCCGCTTTAGCCCACAGCGCCACTTAGATGCCAGTGACTTCCAAGTTTGTATTTCTAGCCCAGGTTTTTAGTTTGAGCTCCAGACCCACAAATTAACTTCTTAAATCTACCTGCTCCGATAGCTCAAGGGCATCTCAAACCTGATCTGTGTCAAAGTGACCGCATGAGCTTCCCCTGACGTAAATGGCCCCACCATCATCTAGTTGCACGTACTGGAAGCTGGGGAGGCACCCTCAGCTGGGTTTACTCCCTCCCTTCATCCGGTCAGTTACAAAGTCCTGCCACAATGAATTCCTTCTGCAGAAGTTCTCTGAAGTATGTTTATCTACCTCCCTGTTTACCGTACCACTCAGACCCGGGCCACTCTCTGCTCTCCCCACGTCCAGCGAAGTAGGCTCCTTACACTTTCCATCTCTCCACACAGTACCCCAGATGACCTTTTTTTTTTTTTTTATTTTAAGTTTTTATTTTTGAGAGAGCGTGAGCAAGGAAGGGGCAGGGAGACAGAGGATCCAAAGCAGGCTCTAGGCCCTGAGCTGTCAGCACAGAGTCTGGAGCAGGGCTTGAACTCCCGAATCGTGAGATCATGACCTGAGCCGGAGTGAGACGCTCAACAGACTGAGCCACTCAGGCGCCCCCAAAATGATCTTTGTAAAGCAAGTCTTTCTATCAGTTTCCTGCTCCAAACTGTGCAGGGTTGCCTGCTGCTCTTGAAGAAAATTTGAGAGTCCTGAACACAACCATGCACCTTCCACTCCTACCGGCACTCCTGTGTTCAGCTCTGCCGACTCCCTTTCGATGCCAACCCCCCTTTTCTATCCAGGGTCTCTCCACACTGACCCCTCTGATTGGAATGCCACCCCCCCCCCCCCCCACCAGCTTTCTTTCAGCCCGATAGCTCAGCTGGTCCTTTAGGGATGTGCATCAGTGTCTGCCACTCACTCCCTCAGGCCGCCTTACGTCTTCCTGTCACACCCTACAGATTTTCTTTCTAGCATGTTCTTGCAGTTGCACTTGTGCCCTTATTGGTATAGTTGTTTATTTGAAATCTGTCTCCCCCACTAGACTAGAAACTCCATGATGGCACGTCTGGTTGGTTTTCCAGTTTCCCAGTAACTAGCACAGACCTGATGCTTGGGAAACACCCCATAAGGATTTGTTGATGAAATTCACAGGTGTCCCGTCTTCCGTGTGTCCCAAAGTGAAACCTTTCTCCCTCTTTTCTAAAGCATACTGTGTATTCTCTCTTCCCTGGCTCCGCGAATAGCAACCAGCAGCTAATTCAATCCCAAACTGTTGGCGTTCTCTTCATTCCCTTTCATACCAAGCTTTTTGATATTCATACCAAATCTCAGCAGTTCTCAGAAACTTCTCCCACATCCTTCCCTGCCTCATCCTCACTGCGGAACCAGAGTCCAGTGGTCATCACCTCTTGGTGCATGCTTGTCTTCCTCCTGGTTCTTAGTCTCTTCCAGTTTACCTGTCATTCTGCTTCTCGGGTGTCCAAAGCACGATTTGCTTTTGCTGTTTCCCCACTTACATACTTTTAGAAGCTCTCCACTGCCCATCTCATAAACACATTTGTTAGCAAATAGTCTAAGACCCCAGTAATCTGCCCCAATTTGCCCCTCAATCTGTGTTGTGTCTTCAGCTGGAGACAGGCTTCAGCTTTGCCCTTTCCCTTTGAACCACCCAGAGCTCTCTGTTGTCTCTTGTACAGGGCGCACCTCTGTGCCTTGGAACATTCTCAGCCTCCGCACATTCTAGTCCCTTGGCCAGTGCTCATCCTTCTTGATCCATCCACCTCCTATGTTGTTTTCCTGGGCAGCCTCCTCTCTCCGGGTAGACTTAGATACCTCTTCCTTGGTATATGGGACGGCCTTGGCATAACCGGCCCTGCTCGGCATATATGACACCAGATGATAGTTGTCTATTTCTGTGTCATCCTCTCTCACTAGAGTCTCACTTCCAGAGAGTAAAGCTCTGTTTATTTTTCTGACTCCCTTCTGGCATCCCAGCCCACCCAAGGCTGCCTGTGTCTGCGCACAGGGCGCTGTGCTGACACTGACCACGGCTTTTGCTTTCTAGCAGATCGAAAGAGCTTCTGCACCATCCACAGCACAGGGTATCTGAAGAGCTGGCCGCCCACAAAGATGGGGCTGGATGAAGACAGTGAACCAGACAACGAGGGCTGTAATCTCAGCTGCCTGGTCGCAATTGGACGACTACATTCTCACGTGGTTCCACAGCCGGTGAATGGGGAAATCAGGGTGAAGTCTATGGAATATGTGTCTCGGCACGCGATAGACGGGAAGTTTGTTTTTGTAGACCAGAGGTAAGAGTCTGTGTATTACCCTTGAACAAGAATGGTACAAGGTTTTCAGCTCTGAGTGAAGCAGAGAAGACTGGGCCATCAGCTGGCTTTCTAAGAGAGAAGGAAGTGATGGGGATCTCTGCTAAAAACTGAGACCTCTCGGAATATCATCATAAATACAGAGATGTTTCCCTTTAATGTCCTTGGCATGTAGAGATGGTGAAGTAGAGTGGTTTGTCCATGACCAGAAGAGAAATAGTAGGCATGGTATATGCTATCTGAATGTATGGACTGTTCCCGGGCCACTACAGTGACTGGAATTCCGGAATGTAGGGCTTGGAGAAGATTATCTAGTCCTGAGTTGTCTGGTGGAGTAGTCCTTGGCTGTGGTGATCTCATATGGCTGTTCAAGGTTTAATTTCATCAACATGAAGTTAAAAATTCCTCAGGCTTGATGGCACTAGAGTGTGTTACACTAAACGAAATAGGTCAGGGAAAGACAGATACCTATGATTTCACTCATGTGAAATTTAAGAAACAAGACAGATGAACATAGGGGAAGGGAAGGAAAAAAAGAAGATAAAAGCGGAGAGGGAGGCAAACCATAAGAGACTGTTAAATACAGAGAACAAACTGAGGGGTGCCGAAGGGGCGTTGGGTGGGGGGATGGGCTAAATGGGTGATGGGCATTAGGGAGGGCACTTTTGGGATGGGTGCTAGGGGTTATAGGTAAGTGATGAATCACTGAATTCTACTCCAGAAACTAGTAATTACCCTGTATGTTAACGAACTTGCATTTAAGTTACAAAAAAAAAAAAAAAAAAAAAGTAAAAAAAAAAAATTCCTCAGGCTCAGTAGCCATATTTCAGGTATTCAATAGCTACATGAGGCTAATGGCACAGATCTAGAACATTTCCATTGCAGAAAGCTCTGTTGGCCACACTGATCTAGTCCAATCTTTTATTTTTTACGGGTGAGGAACTGGGGCCCAGCCTGAAGACTGGCTACCTCCAATTCACAGCTTAGTGGTAATGGACCTGAGCTAAGAACCCAGACGTCGTGTTTTCCACTGCTCTCTGCTGCCTCCCTGAGAATATTCACAGGCAGATCATTTTCCTGGCTATCAGAAATAGTCACTGTATGTTGGAAAAGGACACCACCACTTTTCAAGGTCCTTATGGCCCCTGCCACCATAACTTCTAATGTTTGGTCATCCTGATTTAAAAAAAATAAAAAGGAGGGGATAGTAAAATGGAAATTTGCACTGGGGTTTAGATTGCCTACCACATTTTTATCTGACTAGTTATTATTTCTAAGCCTCCTTTCTTGGGATGATGACCCCTTTGAAAGGCTACTTCCTTTCCCTCTGTTTGTATAGCGTTGGTTAGATTCGGGTGCACCAACAAAAATACATCCATGTAGTAAAGCCCTCTGAAAATCCAGCCAGCTTTGACCCTTGTTCTCACCGGCGGTAGTGGGGTTCATCCACTGCAGAGAGGCTAACTGTCTGAATTAACTTTTTCTTTAAAAAAAAATTCTAGGGCAACAGCTATTTTGGCATATTTACCGCAAGAACTTCTAGGCACATCATGTTATGAATATTTTCACCAAGATGACATAGGACATCTCGCAGAATGTCATAGGCAAGGTAAGCCGTACAAAAGGCCTTAAGTTCAAGGCGTCCCTCTTCTTCGACACTAGTCCACATAAGTGTTCCAGAGAAATCTGGCCCCAGTGATGTCAGCCAGCCTAGGAATCTCCAGGCCAGAACATCTCCGAAGAGAAGAAGCCGATGTTCCCAGGCCCTATTTGTCTCTTTACAGAGAACCCACTGACAGCCTAGCACTTTTGTGTACATAGGACAGTTCAATTTCTAGAAAGCATCTCTTGCCCAGAGAATTTACACGGACCCTGTGAAGATTTAGTATGGCTCCAACAGATCTGATTCTCTTTTCCATAAAATCCTGCAGTGCCTCCTGTATTTTCCTCTTGACTTAGGGCACTGCCCTATGTTAGCCTCCTGAGAGAGGAACCAGTATTGACCCGTTCCTTCACTGTCCACCAGATCCTGTCCATTCACCTCAGACATGCGTTTCCAAAGAGGCCCCATTTTGCACCTCCACCGCCACAACCCGAGCTCAGCCCTTGTGCCCAGCTGACCACTGTGATAGACATCCAGCAGGCCTCTGTGTTCCCTTCTGCTCCCAGTCACCTTCCGTCTTTCATAGTTAGCCCATTTGTGCCCAGTCGATTGAGCTGCATACCGTCACATCCTTGCTTAAACCTCCCGCCTTTAGACTCAAGGCCAAATACCCTGGATAGGCACTCAAGACCCTCCCTCTCCTGGCCCTGCCCCACCTCCTCAGCTTCACGCCTCACCCCTGCCTGCGGAGAGACATCTCCTCATTCCCTGCCACTCCTCAGGCACCGCTGGATTCTTCCTCCCTCGAGGCTCTGACCTCTTCTTCTGCGTAGCTGCATCTCATTCCTGTCCTGAGGGTGGGGGTCCCATCCCATCTCCTCTTCTATCTCCGGTGCCTGGCACACGAAAGATGCTTGTTTGTTACGTAAAAGAGTAAAATGTGAATAGGTGAGTGACCTCCCTGGATTCTGCTGTCCTAAAAATGCTGTACTGCCCTCTGGCTTGATGATGGGGAAAGAACACGGGCCCTTGGGACAGGGCTTTTTCTCACTGGTGGTTCACTTCATAGCCAATTCCGGTCAGAGGTCTATAACGCAGTTATTCCCCAGAGCCTCCATTTCGTACGCTGAAAACTAGCAAGAAATTCATAAATGCCGTCGAAAGGCTCTGAATCAAACCCTCAGAAACAGCCCGTTCTCCGAGTGCCAGCTCCCTTGGCTTATTAAAGAGTGATGCCATGGAGCCTGAGTGCGCTTAGGATTTGGTTACTTTAATACATGGGTCTGAGGAAACAACATTCATGGTTTCTTTGCATTTTCAGTTTTACAGACAAGAGAAAAGATTACGACTAATTGCTATAAGTTTAAAATCAAAGATGGTTCTTTCATCACGCTGCGGAGTCGATGGTTCAGTTTCATGAACCCTTGGACCAAGGAAGTAGAATACATCGTCTCAACCAACACTGTTGTTTTGTAAGTGTGTTTCCTCTGTCAGAGGCTCCCTTGCTGCAGAGATCAATGCTTTGGGCTCCTTACCTGGGCAAGGGGGGTACGGGCGACAGCCGGCATCACATCCTTTACTGCTACCTTGTTCATATCCCATGAAGCCTCAGGATGGGCAGAAGCCAAGATTTCTCTGTTAACGACACGCTTCAGTACGCATAGCATGCAGGCCCCTGGCTTGTGGAATTCCTCCAAGAAACAGCAACATTTCCCTCCCAATAAAGCAGTTAGCTTTTGAATTCTGAAGGCCCTGCACGCAGGACATCCACGGGTACTGCCGTGCGGAGAAGGGGTGACAAACAGGTGCCAGCTCACAGTAGCCTTGGCTGAGGATGGGCGGGTATCCCTGCCACCAGGCCGGTAGCCTGAGCACTGGCGGCTGGAGCGTTGCCTCAAAGGCCTGCTAGGTGAGAAGGGAAGGACCTCTTCCTTGGCGAGGACTGCACCACACCTCTCTTTCCCCGCGGTGTCCAAAGCCCCGCCTGTGGCCAGAGCTGAGTGAGGGGCTGGGGCGGGGGGCCTTGCAGAGTGGCAAGAGAGGAGGCCTTGTAGCTATGGCGGCGGGCTGCCACAGTCACCATCTCTGCTGGACCGTGTCCCACACAAACTAGGAAGGCCCAGGCAGGCAGTGAGGCCAAAGGCCGGGATGATGTCCCTTGTGTTCTCAGACAGCGAGGAGACCTGCTGAGCCACTCAGACCCTTCGTTTTCTGGCCCGTCCAGGTCCACAGTGGACCCTGGACACCTTGGCCGAGGTGCGAGCTGCACGGTTGTGAGCAGGCCTGACTCATGTTTCCTTCTTGCTGGGATGTTCACAGAGCCAACGTCCTGGAAGGCGGGGACCCAACCTTCCCGCAGCTCACAGCGTCCCCCCACAGCATGGACAGCATGCTGCGCTCTGGAGAAGGTAACTATGTCCCGCAGGGGCATCGGGGCTTGCCCATGAGTAGCTGCTTGTGGCCAGCATACCATCCCCCCAAGCATTTGGTGTCCCCAGCTACCATATTTTATGGAACGAGGGAGGCCTCAAGGGGATGAGCGCTAACGACGTGGTCATCTCATCTTCTCTGCTGAGCCTGGAAAACCCGGAGCTTATTTTGCCTTTCTTGAGGCTGCCTGCACCCTGGAAGCCCTTGAAACAGCAAAGTCCTTGCTCCTCTTGCGCTTTTCCTCTGCGTTGCGTGAAGTGCTTTTTGTTGACTGTGACTGGCTCCTGGGGTGGGAGGAGGGTGGTGTCAGCACTGGGGTATGTGCCACACCCAGTGGGGCTCCTTGCCTGGCTTGGCTCCAGCCCCTGGGTTCTGCGCTTGACTTGTCCTTCCACGGGACCACCTCTGCTTGCTTGGCTGTCTTCATTCCCTACCTCTCCATCAGTGACTCCTACATCCGGTCTGTCTCTCCAACTGCCTCCTGGACAGAGCCACCAGGAGTCTCAAAGGCACCTGAAATTCGGCATCTCCAAACCGATTCTCTGCACTCCCTCATCTGGTTGGTTAAGCCAGAAACCTTGACAACTCCTTCTCGCCCATTGTATCTGAACACGAAATCCTGTCCCTTCTACTTGGGGACTTAGACTTCCATCGCCCTCCCATCTGTCATCTGGATTATTGCAGATAACTTTCTAACCCTAGTCTCACTACCCGCCCGCCACCAATCCCCTTCTTCCACTATAGATCATTCTCCATGCGGTGGACTTTCCAATAACCCAATCTGAGTGCCCTTTCTGTGTCAAGTCCCTTGGCACTCCTTATCGTCCGTGGATACTGTCCAAAAGCTACATGGCATCCCAGGCCTTTTCTGATCTGATTGGTACCTGTCTTCAGTCTCATCTATCACTCCTTTATCATCTTCATGATGAGTTTCTTGGAGTCCTCTCCCCAGTTTTGTCCTGCCTCGGTGGTCTTACATAGATCAGTTGCTGTGCGTGGAATGCCTTCCCCTCCTTACCTCTCTGCCAAGCTAATTTATACTCCTCTCTCAAGACTCAGCTCAGAGTTCAACTTTTCCAGGAAGCTGCACTTGGCCCTGGATGAGTGGGGTGCCTTGTGCTTCCCTGCCAAACTTACCACACCTTGTTTCAGCCATTGTTCTTGTCTGTCTCCCTGTTAGACAGTGAGCTCCTTGAGGGCAGAGATGCTGACTTGTGAGGCTGGCCGGCAGTACAGTGGTGGTCAGGAAACAGATGTTGAGTGCCTGAGGGGAATTAAATGCTTTGCCTTGGCTTCTGATCCTGGAAGCCAACTTGAGCTCTCTGCTGGAATGCCTTTTCCTGACAAGCTATGGCCCTGCTGTCCTCTAGGGCATAACCCTAAGGTTGAACTTCAAGTGGATCACGAGATGAACTGGTTTTAACTGATAATAGCATTTCTTCCTCGGTTCCCCTTTCCCACTCTCAGATTCCTTTGTTGTAGGTGGCCCAAAGAGGACCCACCCCACTGTTCCAGGGATTCCAGGGGGAACCAGGGCTGGGGCAGGCAAAATAGGTCGAATGATTGCTGAAGAAATCATGGAGATCCACAGGCAAGTAATATCTTCTAGTCGCTCCCTTAAACCAGTGGTTCTCAATCCAGGGCCTTTTGCCTCCCCCTCAAGGGATGTTTTGTAATGTCTGGAGACACTTTTGGTTGCCATAACTGGGTAGGATGTTGCTGCTAAACATGCAATGGATAGACACCAGGGATGCAGCTTGCTCAACATCCTGCAGGACATGGGACTGCCTCCCCCCCAATCTCCCCTGACTCCCAACGAAGAATTTTCCAGTCCAAAATGTCAGTGGTGTCGAGAATGAAAAACCTTGCCTTAAAGAAGCAAAACCCAAACAGGCCAGAGTTAAAGGAAATTTTCTTACTACTAAGGAGCTAACAAGGACAGATGAACATGGACATTACAGGACTACAGGAGAGCGATGACAGCCGGTGACCTGGGCCTTAAGACATTCGCTGCTTCTAGTCAAAAAGCTGCCTGGCTTTAGTAATAGAGACCAAGCATTTCAGTTAGTAATAGAAGCTCTCTTGAGAGGGCTTCTATTCCATATGAAAGACAGCAGAAGCAATTTACCTGGGTTTGAGTTCTGGGCCTCTACTTAGCTGTGCTTAAGAGATTCACTTAACTTTTTGGTGTCTGTTGAGCTAAACCATAAAAGGGGGCAATAACTCTATCTCTCAAGGATTGCCCTAGGAGTGTGAGACATCTCTGGGAAGTTCCTACAACAGAAACTGACAATAGTGTGTGCTCAAACACTGTTAATTACATCTAAGTCTTTAACAGTAGTGATTGAGAGGGAAGCAGTTATAAATTCATCTGAATTTGGGGAATCGAAAGGGTAGTAACCAGGTCCTTAGGAATGCACACTTAATGGAACATAGGAGAAGGGAAAAATTATTCCCTCCTGCCATGGATTTTCTCTCAGGAGAACTGAAAGCTGGTCTTGCTTTCTCATTAGCCATAGAGGAGGCTCTTATCCCAGTGGGTAGAATAGTTCTGTTCCAACCCTCTGTGAATGACGGGTATGGCCCCTTGAGTCTACTTCAAGATGTGGGGCAGTGTGCAGTGATCATCAGAATCTTACCAACCACTGATAATGATGCTTGAAACCACCCAAGAACAGTAGAAAACAGTCCTTGACGTCAAGGATCTTACAATCTTTGAGAAGTCTGTTTTCTTTATGATCACACAAAAAAGGGAGAGTGCATGAGCTGAAGCAGGGAAGGGAGATTGCTAAGAATCCTAATAAATAATGCTAAGAAGTTTAGACAGGGGGAAAAATTGTAAGAGCCCATTCATTGTAGGAGGCTGAGCAGATGTCCAAAGTGTTGTGCTAATAAGCATTATGGAAAGTTAGACTGGAATAGGAAGAGACGAAGGTGAGCATTAGTAAGTTTGGTAAGCTTACTAAGTTTTTAGTAAGCAATTAGTACCCATCTGTGTGTTCTAAGAGTGCATGGTATATAGCTGTAACCTACCTTTGAGGAGCTTATGATCCAGGAGAGAGAAAGCTTATTCACTCCCAACTCTACAGAACGGGGCAATACAGGCCAATGGCCAGAAGGCTACTAGGCAGTGGAGGGAGGGGTACTTGGGTAACCCGCAAGTTGCATTCATCCACGTAGAAGCTAAAGGCCTGGTGGGCACACAGCTGCCACCATACTCGAGCTTCACCGCTAGGCCATGGCTTCCTTTCCTGAGGTCCTTGAGCCTGGCGAGCATATATGTGGATTTACAGTTCTAAGACTTTCTCTCTGTTAATCTACTATACTGAGAAACATACTAGCTGAGAGGACTCGGACCCCTTTTTCATCACCTGTCGCTTTAGAAGGCGGTGGGGACAGCTGCTGCTGCTACTACCGCTACTGCAAGGCTACTTTCTAGGTGTGGCTGAACCACCCTGGCACATTCCATTTCCTTAGAACATTGACTAGATAAAAAGTGTTTGTAGGGAAGAGGATAAGTCACTTGCTGTGGGTTCTAGTTCATGGTATGCAAAAAGCTACAGGGAGAACTTCTAAGGCCCCCTCCAACTCTGAGATCTGGATACTGTAAGAAATGAAACTGGCCACTCACCTGAAACTCAACCACCTGAAATGCAAACCCTAATCCGAGGGCTTTGTCAGGGAGATGCTAGGCTCCAGGGTCTGCATTCTAGATCAGGGCCTGTGGGATAAATGCAGCTTCTCGCCTGTTTTTGTATATATCATGTTTTACATGTTTGCTTCTTTGCGAGAGGGAGCTTGTGGGTGCGCCCACAAGTGGGGGAGGAGCAGAGAGAGAATGAGAGAGAGAATCCCAAGCAGGCTGCACACTGTCGGCACGTGGGGCTCCAGCTCACAACCATGAGATCATGACCTGAGTCGGAATCAAGAGCCAGACGCTTAACCGACTGAGCCACCCAGGCGCCCTAAATATAATTTTATTGGAACACAGCTACACTCACTCATTTCCATATGGTCTATGGTTGCTTTCAAGCTACAATGGCAGAAGTGGGTAATTGTGACCAAGACCATATGTCCTACAGAGCCTAGAATAGTTAGTTTGATCCTTTATAGGAAAAGTTTGCCAATCCCTATTCTGGGTCTTCATCCTTCTCCTTACCCCCACCCCTCACACACCACTGAAGAAAACGAAAGGCAAAATAACTAACTCCTCTTTTCTCTGACAGAATAAGAGGGTCATCGCCTTCCAGTTGTGGCTCCAGCCCATTAAATATCACAAGTACACCTCCCCCTGATGCCTCTTCTCCAGGAGGCAAAAAGGTAAGGCTGATGACTCTCAGACTAAGGCCCTTCTTAATCCGGAGAGCCTCTTGCCCAAGTTGAAATACTGGGGGTGGGAGTAAATAATTAGGGATGGTTGCTGAAACAGCGTGGATGCTCTTTTCCTTTTAAGTAAATGCATCTGTATGAGTTGAGGTAGAATGCATACCGGTGGAGTTAGGGAGGCTTGCTGACATCCTTAGAGGATTTATTTCATGTGAATGCAGGAAGGCAGAAAGGATGTTCTAAGGAATGGGGAGGACACCACACTGAGGGAGTATTTCAAGAGCTCCCATGAAGCATTAGTGAGTGCCTTGCACCGAAAACTATCTAGTTCTTTACCAAGAACTGTCAAGGGAGAAAAATATCCTCAGTGTCCAGTGCAGGCACTGGAAATAGGAATACTACCAGAAGCAACTTTGGTGCTATGGAAGCCAAACCATGCCTTTGCAGCTGCAGAATACCTGGGGGATCTGCTACCTAGGTTTCCTGTGATGTGACAGCACAAGAATTTTACGTCACCAGCCCTCATGAAGAGTTGGCTAGAAGACTGCACTATAAATAGGCTTAGAAACCACTCTTTTGTTTCCATCTTTGCCAGATAATTTACAAGTGTAGGGGCCATCTTAATTGTAAATCATACATGCATTTATAGTGCCTGATGTCAACATAGGTTAGGATAATCCAAGGGCCAGCATCTTTGGACATAGATCATCCTTCTCCTACCTCCCAAAACATACAGAGAGAAAGAATATTAGTAATTTACACAGACAGGACTCCTAGAACACAAATTGTATCAAGCGCAGGACATGGGTTTTCAAAACTGCATTCCTCAGAGGCTCAGGTTACCAGGAGCTGTGGTGCTGGCAGGTGGGATGGGGCAAGGGCAGTTGGGGGAATGGAGAGGGTAAGGGTAAGGTCGGGACTCTTGCTTCTACCAGGGCAGCTTTATTTTATATATGAATCTTCTGTAAAAATTTCTATTTGAAAATAAGTTTCCAAACCCGATAAAGGTTTGAAAGGCAATTAATGGGTAAGAGTGGTCAGTGAAAGACCCGAGCTTGAAGCCTGGCTTTGCCATGTGCTAGCTATGTGCCCTTGTATAATTATTTAGCCCTAGTTCTTGTTTTTTATTTTGTTTTATAACGAGGCTACTATAGGTTAGGACAGCCAGCATCTTGGCACATTAAGCCCTGTTATAAGGTAATATATGTGAAAATTCCTGGCCTTTGTTAGACGCAGAAAATAGCACCAGTGGATGAAGCCTAGGCTTGGCACATCCTCAATCCCTGCTTGCAGGTTTTGCTCTTAGGTCTGTTCTAGCCCAAGATCCTCCATCCATATTGGGTCCAACATCTCCTTAGGGTGGTCTCCCCTTCTCTGCTTCTCACTTCAACTTTTAGACCTTTGACTTCCTGGTATTACCAAGAATCCCGCTACTCTGTTTTGAAAGGTTATCACTCCAGTAGAGTGCTTAAATATTACTCAGGGAACTTACACATTTTCTCCTCTTAGTCTAACAACTTTATAGGTGACAAAATCTAAGTTCCCAAATATTAAATGCTGGGCTTATCATTTAACAAGTATAGGCCAAAACTTAAATTCAGGTCTCGACTGTTGATTCTTTTCACACCAACAACTGCAGAGATCCAGAAGTGTACTCTACATCACAATGCCCCAAGTATTTTTGACGCATTTACGGAAATTTTTTTTGGGGGGGGGGGGCTTATAAAAATGGGAAGAAATTCTGAATAGGAGTCCTCAGCAACAGGACTTATAAGAGCAGCTTAAACAAGATGGAGTTAGAAATGACAGCAGCATTGTGCCAAAGCCATGAGAGTAAAGGTGGCCCCAGGCTTCCAGCCCTTCCCAGTCACTTTCAAATTGGGCAGGTCCAAAAATGAGCCATTCAGTTTGACAACTAGTTCATTCAGAGTCAAGCTTAAAAAGTGAGGCTTTAAGTCAACCTCCTCGGTCCAGGGAGAGTCTGGACATCCAGAGGCATAAGGTAGGTTCAGATAAAGTGGCAGCTCCCCTAAATATCATCTGCAGTCTTTTTTTTTTTTTGGAGGGCAGGGGAGAGGTGTTGAGGGGGGAAGGACCTTTTCAGGGGTCTCCCAAGGCCAAAACTATTTTCATAATGTAAAACTTTTTTTTCTCCCACTGTTAATACAGGAACTGACAGTGCAAAAGAGTGTCGGGTAAAACTGCTGGTGCTTTTGCAAAAATCACGGCAGTGGCACCAAACTGTACTAGTAGTCACTGTAGTCTTCAGCATCAACTCACAAAAAAATAAATTTGCAAGCCAGTTTTAGAATGTCCTTAATAAGCAGTAAAAATACTGCATAAAATCCTTGAGTCAATGTTTTCATACTGATACAACTGGGAAATGTGCATGAACTATGTACTGCCCTGGTTGCCTCAAAGGAAAGCACTTGCATGACCAAGTCATGAGCTAAACAAATTGCTTTTGTCATAGCATAGACCATTTTCACTACTGCAAACTGCGGTTATTCAGACTTGAGTATTTAGAGACATTTTCTTGAAAATGTACATGAGTGCAAGGAAAACAACTGACAGTGTTTGTTGCCAGTGAGAAAATTTTAGCTTTCAAGCAAAGATTAGAGTTTTTGGAAAACTTGTAACTGCTACTTTGAGCTCACCAGTTTCCCGGAATTTAAAAGGTATTTCTGCCGATAGAGGTGTAATATTAAGGATGGTGATGTTTTGATGTATGGTGAAACGTGTCAATATTTAGATCTGCCTGACTCAGCCAGTATCATCAGAATACCAAAGTTATTTGAAAAGACTATTCAAATATACCTCCCTTTTCCACCAAACAACATCTAAACAGGAGAAAATGAGAATCCAGTTAAATCCAGTTAAGCCAGACAATTGATTTAAAAAAAAAAAAAAAAAAAGACATTTCTGAACTTTTGTTTTAAAAAAGGTATTTTTCATTAAAATGCTATTCAGGTTAACATATGATAGGTTTATTAGATTTAAAAATTTTTAGTTGTAACTTCGCATATAGGAAATATTGATAAATACAGCATACATAAACACATGGTCTTTGGAGTTTTCAATTGGTAATGCCACCTACTGGCAAGACTCGCAATCACTGCCTCCTTGGAAATCTAATCAGCTGCTGAGGTTTTAGTCCTTGGCCTTCAAGAATCATGTGAATAGTGTGATCCAAGGTAAACAAATGCTCTAGGGATTTTACTCGGTCTTTAAATTGCCTGTGTGGGCTGAATCATCCAGAGAAAATAATTTGGGGGAGAGGTTTATCTTACTGTGACCATTCCTAATACCTTCCTGCTTGAAATCCTCGAATAGGAAACTGAACATTTCCCCCCCTACCTTTCTCTTTTCAACATGCTTCGTTTTCTTGATGATCTTGAGTCCAATACTGATTAAAACTGTTAATAATACAAAAACTTCACTTTTTGTTCGTAGATTTTAAATGGAGGGACTCCAGACATTCCTTCCAGTGGCCTACTACCAGGGCAGGCTCAGGAAAACCCAGGTTATCCATATTCTGATAGTTCTTCTATTCTTGGTAAGTAGCATTATTACTCGTTTCCACTGTCAGAAGCTTGCACAACATCTGGCATGAAGTCAATTTTAAGAAATGAATAAAACACACTAGTTCTAACCTAGTTTAAAATTTGTTTAAATCTTTACTTCAAAGTTCAGTTTAGTGGTTGAGTTCAGGTGGAGATTCCAGGTTTGTCCCTGGAACTCAAAAGGAGACTCCAGCAGCCTAGAGACAGCCATTTTCCCATGTGGGCCAGAAATCTTCAGTGGGAGAGCTGCTGAAGGTTCAGAGATAAAGCCTGGAAGGATGATCAATAAGCATTTCAGAGGGTATTAAAAGTCATGAAGTGATAGAGTTTGTTTCTCCCATCTCACCCATCTTTTTCTCCATTTGTCTTTCCAGATCGTTTTTTTCCTAAATCCCTACCTTGTCTTTCCTTCTGTATCCCCCTCCTTGTAACTGGTTATGTCAGAATATTAAAATGAGGTCAACTCCAATGCTTTTTATCTTTATTGCATTTTCAGCACTTTGTTGTGTCTCAGAATAACCAACTTTTTAGAAACAAAGTTAAAAAAAAAAAAAAAAAAAAAAGCAATGCAGCCCCAACGCAGTCTTTCTCACCATTCTCCCCTTACTGTTATGTACTACTAATATTAAACATGCTTTGGGATTATGACTGACCAGTCTTCCTCTTCTCCCACAGGTGAGAACCCTCACATAGGCATAGACATGATAGAAAACGACCAAGGCTCAAGCAGTCCCAGCAATGATGAAGCAGCAATGGCCGTCATAATGAGTCTCTTGGAAGCAGATGCTGGGCTGGGAGGTCCCGTTGACTTCAGTGACTTGCCATGGCCGCTGTAAACACTACATGTTGCTTTGGCAACAGCTACAGTATCAAAGTGCATTACTGGTGGAGTTTTACAGTCTGTGAAGCTTACTGGATAAGGAGAGAACAGCTTTTATGTACTGTCCTCATAAAAGCCACCTCAGAGCCATTGATACAAGTCAATCTTACTATGTGTAACTTCAGACAAAGTGGAACTAAGCCTGCTCCAGTGTTTTCTCATCATTGATTATTGGGCTAGCTGTGGATAGCTTGCATTAATTGTATATTTTGGATTCTGTTTGTGTTGAATTTTTTAATCATCGTGCACAGAAGCATCATTGGTAGCTTTTATATGCAAATGGTCATTTCAGATGTATGGTGTTTTTACACTACAAAGAAGTCCCCCATGTGGATATTTCTTATACTAATTGTATCATAAAGCCGTTTATTCTTCCTTGTAAGAATCCTTTACTATAAATATGGGTTAAAGTATAATGTATTAGACAGTTAAATATTTTTAATAAATGTTTCCCTTGTTCTATAAATACTGTTTGTGCTACAGGGCTGGATCAACTTTCTACAGTGGGTTTTTAAGGACAAGCCACACCCATAACATTTACAGTGCCTTTCTGGCCTTCATAACAAACGTAGGACTTACAGAATTTCCCTGTGTTAATAGCTTAGCTATACTGTTAAAATAATTCCTCCCCAAAGAGTTGGCAGTTTTATGTGAGTACAATGTTACTGCTTGAACACATATTTCAAATCCTATGAAATTACAGATTCAAGAGTAGGTGTAGCAAATGGGCTTATTTCCTACAACTCCTCTCTGCTCATGGTTGTATAGCTTCACACAGTAAGTAACCCCTGACCCAAGCATTTTTGCTTCCTTCGTGAATTGGGCCACAGAGTATTTTTTTCAAAAGAATTTGCACAGTTTGCTAAGAGGAACAGCACAGTATAACGGACAAAGCACCAAACCAGTGTCAGAAATTGTCTCCAAAACCTAAGGTTCTCCTATAACCTAGTAAAGCCATCACTCTTGATGTTAGGTTTGACTAGAAAATGTTTTTTTTTTTTTTTTTTTTTTTTTTTTTTTTTTTTAGCTCAAACACTGCTTCGGATTTAGTAGGGAATCTAAGTGCTTCATCGCACATCAACCAAACTGGAGGTCCATGAGCTACCACTAAGACAGGAAATCTATGAGACTAAGGGATCTGGTCAAGATGGTTATAAACTTGATGAGAAACATTAAAACAATGGAATTTTATTTTGATGAAAAACTCGAGTTTACAATCATTTAGTAAATGAAGAGCAAACACTTCATTTTCCTATCCCATAACTCTTAAGAAAAAAAAATTAGTAAATAAATATCTGAACAGATAAAGGGTAAGGCAGACTGGATGTTCACACTTCCTGCATGTGACTCACTGTAAAAGGGCAAGAACAGCACTGGAGAGAAGATAGATAGGGGCATTGAATCTCATCCTAATCATTCAAATAAGCCCAATGATAAATACTCATTTTTTTTTGCTCATCACGGGCAGCAAACTATACACATTTTACTGAAGGAATACTTTGATAGAAGCACTTATTTCAGTTATATTGTGCATCACAACTATAAAAATGGCTTGAACAGTTCCATTTAACCACCATTTATAAAGTGCAACTATGTAATATTCTACATTTTACCTGGGGTGTGATGAGTATCAATCTAAGCTGAAAAGACCCCAGCTGCCAATTTTCACCACTTCTGAAAATATCTAGATGTGTGAAAAAGGACAGTCCCCCATACAAAGAACCAACTTCACAAACCTACTGGTAAACAAATACATTTATATAACTGGAACCTCAGGATGCTAGAGTTGTACTCATTTAAAAAACCATTCAGCTACCTTTGGTCTTTAAAAAAGCCTCCACTGCAATATCCTAAACATTGTTATGTGCATCTCACGATGAAGAGCGTGGCCTTGTAGTGCAGAATGAGGAGAGCGCGACGTCACCGTGAAGGGTAGCATGCGATGGTTTCAAGGAACATCAGCATCACAGCATTGGATTCTGTGCATCAGGATCGAGGTCATTGTTGCCAGAAGGAGGGTGCATCGGGAGAATATCCAGCTCGTCTACTTGTGGAGTCGGGTGCATGACTACCAGCTGGTCCTGGGGAATGTCTGCGGCAGCTGCTGCAAGGTTGGTGATAGATTTGCTCTTTACACACTGAAAGTCTACATGCCGACTCTTTCCTTCTTCCTTCTCCCAAGACATTCGAATAAAGGGTCTTTGGACATAGTTGTAAATCACTTCTGGGCGGCCCCCAGGCCTTTTCTTTACTTTTTCTTTGTAGGTAGGATAACCTGGAGGAGAGAAAAATTTTAAAAACTGAGGATACACACACACACACACACACCCCTGTACACTTCTCGCCAAAGCCTACAGAGGGCTTTTCTGCCGTAGTTCCTGAACAATCAGAAATTCAAGAAGGGAAACCAATATTCTATCTCCTTAGTCATCAGTTCAACAGCCAGAAACTGAAACCCTACAGATACAATTCATACAGGTTTCTCCCATCCTCTCCACTCAATACACCAACCACCAGAAAAACATTCATAAAGTAAAAGCATGGAGGGGATAGGTCCCAAATACAATGGCATGTAATGGAGTGCATTTTGGGCTCTACCTGTGTGTCCTTAACATTGCTGAACCTTTCCCTTCACAGGATTATCTTGCCTCAAGGCCTGCAATTTATTGCCACATTAGCCTTCTTATTTCCTTAAACCTAAATCTCCTCTTTATATTGCTTTGGGTTTTTTGTTGTTGATGTTGTTGTTAAAAGATAAAGAGCCATAGAGCTCTCCAGCTTCACTGGTTCTAAGTACACTTCTGCACATAGGTCAGCAAAGACACTTCTAGTTTGGGAAACGTTTCAGTCATTTACCAGGAAGGTAATTTTTCCAAAAACATACACTTCTTAGAAGCTATCGTATGTAAGTCCCCTCCTTCTCTCCTACTAGCAAGAATTGCTAGTTTATACCAGGGACTGGCAAACATTTTCTGTAAAGGGCCGGACAGTAAATATTTCAGGCTCATTTTAGCTTGGATTTCAACTACTCATCTATGCCACTATAAAGTGAAATCAGCCACAGAAATATGTAAACGAATGAGCATGCCTATGTTCCAATAAAAAACTTTATAAAGAACAGACAATGGAAGGAAAAACAACAGGCAATGGGCAAGATTAAGCTCATGGGCCACAGACTATATCAGAATCAGGAAAAACTAGGGAGAACCTGGGTAGCTCAGTCGATTTAAGCATCCAACTCTTGATTTCAGCCCAGGTCATGACCTCATGGTTCAAGAGTTTGAGCCCCAATCGGGGTCCGTGCTGATAGTGCGGGACCTGCTTGTGATTCTCGTCTCCCTCTCTCTCTCTCTCTCTCTCTCTCTCTCTCTCTCTCTCTCTCTCTCTGCCCTTCCCCTGCTCATGCTCGCTCTCTCTTTAGCTAAATAAATAATTTTTTACATCAGAAAAAAATAGAAAAACCTCACCTCATACACTAGGGTCTCTATAATTATTGCATAAAGGATGTATGTAGGCATCATTGGTAGCTAGTATATTTAGCCATGTATGGAATGTGCACGTATGTGGCTCAGGGGCAAGCAGGGCTAAAAACCTTTTCAAGACCTTCTGCAGGATGTCGTTTCACACTCCCAATCAATTACCATTTGAAGGGCAGCTCTAGAGTTCAGAAAGGTCTCCAGATCTATTCCTTTGTCCTTGATTCCTCTTGGACTATTAGAAAGTCTTTTAAATTCCTATCTCACCGTATTTCAATCTGTCCTCCACACAAAGTCACCACACTGACACAAGTGTAATATTACAGCCTTGCTTAAAAACTACCAATGGTTGGGGCGCCTGGGTGGCTCAGTCAGTTGAGCATCCAACTTTGGCTCAGGTCATGATCTCACGGTTCGTGGGTTCGAGCCCCGCATCAGGCTCTGTGCTGACAGCTTGCTCAGAGCCTGCAGCCTGCTTCGGATTCTGTGTCTCGCTCTCTCTATGCCTCTCCCCCACTCATGCTCTCTCAAAAATAAATAAATGTTAAAAAAAATAACCCTACCAATGGTTTCCTCATGCTTCAAGGGAAAGTCCATAGTCCTTAGCATAGTATGTAAGGCTTTTTTACAACCTACTTGTCATCAGGCTTCAGCTCAAGTATGTCTGCCTTAGGGAGGCCTTCCTCAACCTCCTAATCTACAGTAGCTTCCAGGTGCCTTCTTTCTAGCTTTGAAATCAAACAGCTAAATTCCACTATTTACAAAATGACAGAGAACAACACACACTGGTGAAGCAAATGTGTGAGCAATTCCACTGTTTTTAAGCCCAGAGTCTCCTCCCCTTCCTGCAAACACCCTAGTTTTGGTTGTTCTTTCCCTATGTCTCAGCAGCCCATTACTGTCATCTCCAACAGCTCAACTGGTCACTGATCAACACCACTATCAGCATCACAAATATACTGAGAGAGTACTATGTGCAAGGCCCTGTTTTAAGTGGTTTTCCTGTATTGGTTCACTCTATCCTCATAATAGCCCTATAAAGTACTTATTAATGCTCCCATTTTAGATGAAGAAGCTGAGGCAAAGAGAAGTTAAGCACCCTGGCCAAGGTCATACAACTATTAAGTCATAGGATTTAAACACACAAGCAGTGTGGCTCTAGAACCTTTAATCTTTACACTTTGCCATATTATGCCAAGGGAAATACTTTGTTCTTAGTAAGGGCACTTAAAAGTATCTGACATGACATCTGGAAAAATCTATTTAAATCACAAAGTAAAAGCATCTAAAAATGTACACATTTAAGAAGATGAAATAAGTTTGAAATTTGTATTTAATGTGAAAATAAGTTAACTATTATTATACCTTAAGAACCAGTAAGTTACTAATATGCCTTTACATCCATTTTCAGAAAGTGGTTTTTAGTTCTGTTCGGCTTTGAGGAGCTCCAATGATCACGACTGGGCAAAGAGCTCTGCCAATCTTATGGGAACATGTACATGTGTGCCCAAACATACTATGTGGGCTCAGTCAAAAATCATCAAGGTGACCTATGGCAGGAAAGATAAATTCATCTCTCTATATTGTTAGGGGATCTTACGGAATAAATAATTTCTAATGGCTTTCTATCTTCTCAGATAAAGGAAGCTAACATTTGTTATTTATAGGTCTACTGCATGAGCATTCATCTAGTAATCACTTGAGTGCTTCTCAAAGTATGTATTTCTCAAACTATACTCCAAATTGGATTCAATTTTTAGCCTTTTTTTTTTTTTAAGAAAATTAATAGAAAATAATGAAAATGTCTTACCTTCTATTCCCAATCTAATCTTCTTAAGACCTCTTTCCTTCAAAACTGATTTGGCCACATCTCTGTTTTCAATGTACTTGAAAAATCTATATAATTTTGTGCTATAAATAACTGGAAACAAAAAAAAAACCAAAAATATTTTCTTAATAAAAATCAAAGTACTTGGAGATGAACTTAAAATTATCTCCATCTTCAAAGGGGCCTGACAACCCTATAAGCCCAAATCATGGATGCAGTGATGCGGAAGGGTGACTAGCCAACATAACAGGACAATTCAGTACAGTTAATGAATAAGCAAATGTCTACTTAAGTTGAAACCAGAAAAGCTTTAATAACCAATCAGGTAACCCAATCCATAGGAAGAATCTCCTTCTGAAAGATTTATCATATACAAACTTACTAGAATGGGATCTGCCCCAATTTCTTCAAATAAGAGAACTAAAAGATAGCAATATCACATCATTATCAAGCAGCCCAACTCAAGGACTTTGCTGTAATGCCTATAAGGCCTTGTCTGGAAGGGGAAAACTGCCTCGTCATAAACTATAAAATGGATACATCTTATATTTCACGGATTGAGCAACTATTAATAATTCCCCAAAAAGGCAAAGACCCTCCCCACAAACTGTTTCCAATTCAGGCGAACAGCCCCATTTACTACTGATGTTAAAAAATGGCAGATTCGAGCATGTTCTGCCTAGGTTAGTCTGTTTAGAGCAAACTGGCTTTGCAAAGGACAGACATTCCACTGACAACATGTTGAGTCTTCCAAATGTGCTGGGAACTTCAGGGAGTTAGAGTGATGGACCTTCCTCGCCTTCTCTCTTTCAGGTGGAGTTATCTCCCTTAAAAGGTGAACTGCAAAGGTTTTTTCAAAAAAAGAAAAACACACTCACAAACCAAACATGCTGGTTTAAGAGCCAATAAAAGGAAAATATGTATATAGATGCTACTCATGGGGTAAATTTGTGATTTACATCCTTAAGATTACTGGTATTTTAAAACAAAAATTTGCTGACATCTCAGAATGAATGGTGTATGTCACATTTAGGAAAATCACGCTGAAGAGGCTGTGTTTCCTCAAATCAATCTTCTTTAGTTGGGAACATCTTAGCACAAAATGAAATATATTTAAGCAAATTAAGTAAAAATGTTTTCAGTCCTCTTTAAGCCTCCAAGCTGAAGATGAAAAACATGAAAACAAACCAAAGAACACGGACATGGAAAGTTCAACAACTCAGAGGGAAAAGCCAGGTCAACCATAGTTCTTCTATCACTATCATGTCATTTCTATGTTCTATAGCTGGCTCTATACTTTCTAGTATATCTCTTTTAATCTTTGTTAGCCTTTCATTTTTCCTGTGTTTTGCTCAACTTGTTATTCCACGTATTATTACAGAAAACTGTCAGAAAACAAGCTAGGAATGAGGAAACACAACAGAAATGGCTGTTACTCCAACTGTCCAGAGAAGAATCACAACACTAAGTGTATCATGCAAAGGGAGCATCTCAATGTAAACTCTGAAAAGAGCTTCTATTAACTTATGTTAAAATAATCTTTTCAATATCTTCAAAAAGAATACCACTTGGGGACTGTTTTGTTTTTAGACAAGGATAAGTAAAACGAAAAAATCAGAGACTAAGGCATTCTGTAAGTTTCTATATTCCTGTATTTTTCACTTAAACCCTAATCTTTACCAAGTCAACATAGACTGGAGTACAGAACAAGGTGCTGGGTTCTTTTATCTAGTTCCTCAAATCATTCTTTTAGCTCTATCTTCTCTAACCTATAAAACTGCTCAAAAATATTATACTGGGTTCATCAAGAAAAGTAATATAAATTTTCTAACAAAAAAATCAAAAGGCTCGTATCAGGGAAAGTTTAAAAGTCTATTAAGGAAAAAGTCATTGTTAATGCTCAAGATAATAAGCTGTTTTGGTCAGAAATACCTAACTATAGTTCCACAAAGCTTTCTGAAGGATCATTATATCCTCCAGAACACATATATGATACTAAAAAGGGAATATCTTAGAACTTAAAATCACCCTAGGAATCAATGAGTTGAAGCTTCTCATTTTATATATGAATAAAAATTAATCTAAAAAAAATCAGCTGATTTTTTATAATCTACTAACTCCAAGATCTACTTCTGTAGAAGGCTTCTTTCTAAATGCAAAGAAAAAAAAATCCATCAAGATCCAGATACTCAATAAAGAGCAAACCATTTCTGTGCATGACAGGCATTTTGTAAAGGGCCACAGAGTAAATACTTTGGGCTTTGCGAGCCATGCGGTCTCTGTTGCAACTACTCAACTCTGCCACTGTAGCACAAAAGCAGCAAAAGACAATACATAAAACTATTCATAAAAACAGGCAATAGGCTGGATTTTGGCCCACAGCCCATGGTTTGATGACCTGGTGTAGGTTAAGAATTCAATGTACTTTCTTTATAAAAACTGTCCTTTGATCAGTATTTTAAGATACAGAGAGAATCTATGATGACTCAAGAGAGAGAAAACATGCCACAACACTTACTTTGTGAATACTCTTCTCCCATCTGTGGTGGATACTCTTCATCCCAATCAACCACATCATCATCTGTAAGCACTACTATGTGGCATTCTCGCTCCCCACTCTGGGCACTAGCTACCATGAGAGGCAGGATCATTTCTTCCAGATAAAATTCAAACTGTCTACGAGCACCATCATTTGATAACTCATGCATTAGGGCACCTGAAACGAAACCCACAAAAATACCTTGATTTTTTTGATGACTGACGAGTAAAAGAAGAGCAGAAGGAATACACACACACAACATCCAACCCTACAGACAAAATAATAGTGGTTATTATTTTGTCAAAACTTTTCCTAGGGGCCCTCTGGGTGGCTCATTTGGTTAAGTATCCGACTTCAGCTCAGGTCAGGATCTCACAGTTTGTGGGTTTAAAGCCCTGCACCGGGCTCTGTGCTGATAGCTCAGGGACTGCAGCCTGCTTTGGATTCAGTGTGTCCCTCTCTCTCTGCCCCTCCCCTGCTTGTGCTCTGTCTCTCTCTCGCTCTTAAAAATAAACAAACATTAAAAAAAAACTTGGGGGGCGCTTGAGTGGC